TAGACTGTATCGTTCTGCAGAACAGTGGCTTAAAAATGATGCAGATAGTTTGGATGCTCTCAAAAGGTTGATCATGGCCGAATACTCTTCAGCTGTCCCATGTGTAAAACACAGGCATAAGTAGTTAACAAGATGTAAAAATGTGGTTCGTTTGAGGCACGCAGTCTAATTAATTGTTTGCAATCGGCTAAACCAAGAGTACAAGGAACATTTAACGGCAAGCCAACTGCACAAGCATGGAAATATTACAACAGCTTTTCAGTGGACATCATTTTACTTTACATTCGGGAGGGTAGATATTTTGAAAAACATTGAGGGTGCTGTTTCACTCGGAGTGAATAAGCAGATTTTTCTTATGTTTTTTTCAAAAACCTTAGAGCAGTGAACTGAGAGTGCACTGAGAGGTAAAATTGCGCAGATAGAGATGGCCACGGAGCCATGATTTTATCAGCCTTCTTCTAGATGCATCTAAAACCGCTGTGCATGCTGATTAGTGCACCTTAATAATTTACTACCTACCTAAGTAACCCGCCTGGTTGTGTACGGTCAGATAAGTTTCAATGCGGAGGCAAGAAATAATGCCATGCAACTGTGACTTTGTCTCATTTTGTGCAGCAACTACAGCGTGTGTTGATGTCCGATCATTTAATCTAAGAATCTGATCTCAACAAGCACTGGCATACATAGATTTTTATGAGGCAACCCAACTGATGCATTGGCCCCAATATACAATGCCTGTGTTTACGGTTCGTGAAACGTTTGACTCCTCAATCTTTTCAACTGACTAGAAAACCTATTCTCTAGAGAAAAATGCTATTGCGATATTCTTTAATCCTCAAATTTGCTTGAAGACTTCTCTTTTCGGAACATTTAATCTTCATACAAAGAAGCATACGGCTTCGTAAGCACTTCGGATGCCGTTTTCCTCGATGCACCATGCCAGTTCGCCATAATAATTATTTTAACAGAGATCAGTGTCAACCACTGTAAAGATAATAAAACGCTGCGGGACTGTAAATGCGTCATTACCGTATCATAAGGTATAGCACCAGTGCAGGTTCACACAAAACAGAGTGATATAGAATATACAACACCATTTATTTCTTGCATAATTTACTAAGCGCAAAGCACTTTAATCAGAATCGTCTCCCGTCATGATGTCAATTCAAAACTAATTGAATGAGAGTACTGTACCCATGTTTCTGGAAATTAACTGAATGTTTGTAATATGCTGTGCGCAATAACCGGTAGCTGACCGAATGTATACGCGGAATGCCATCATGTAAGAAATAAAATGATATCCGTGAATCTCTTTTATGATGAGAAAGAATTATGGGACCATTTTTTGAATGAAAAAACTTGCTTTGTCTATCTTTGCCTAAAGGCACCTCCCGTTACTATTAGTACGCGGGCGGAATGGATGCATTTCTTGGACTGTGTAAAGGCTCTTCCGGTCGTTAACCTGCTTATTTCGTGCCAGTGATATCACGTTTACACGTGTTGTGAATTCGCCGCGAGGGACACTGTGCCGCATTTTAAAGAGGAAACTTATTTTGACAATTGCACAGCCCGTATTAGCTATACTCCAATGATTCTATCTTGAACATCTGCTAACCGTAGTTTGGCTCAGGAAACTTCTAGGTACATGGTACATGGCAGTGTACTGTATGATACAATACTGATAAACCAAACAGTCAGATATTTACTTAGACAAAGCAGACAGTGCTTGTGTTTGTTTGATTGTCCGCTGAGCTAGGCAATTCAATTTCCAAAGCTTTAAAGCGGAGTTAAAATTAGTCGTGTGCCAATGGTTGCGCATTTATTAGTTGTATAATTATGTTACCACACTTGCTCCCACCATTTTCTCTAGCAGAATCAACTCGAATATCATCCGCTAACTAATGCACCATAGCTTTCAGTCAGCATCTAATATACGACCTTTGGAAGCCTTTGGTTGGAAGTATAACAACTGTACGTGTTCACACATTACAAACAAATGCAACCTAAACAGAATTTAGGCCTAAATCACCACGATCTGATTGACGTATACAGCCGTCGTAACATAGAATCCGTTAGTGAATTCAAATACACTGTGAAAAATTTGGTGGCCATTTGAATCGCATTGTCGCGGCTCAATAATACATAGCAGGTACATATTGTAGCTAGTTCCTTGTTGGGTGAACCCAGGAAACATTATCAGTGTCCATCGTCCGAGGGTGAATGCCTTTGCTGCTCTAGGGGAATCCCGGCCCAAAGAAGAATGGCGGTAACCTATTGTTTTCACTAACGCATCTTTGAGTTTTTTATTAATTTATTAATTAAGCATTCGTTAATAGTTCATCAGCAAAATACCCTCAAATATGAAAGTACAGTTTACATGTATGTCCCATTTACTAATTTCATTTAATTGCCATTACATTTACTCGACGATATTTTAAATTTGGATTGCATGTATTTGTAATATAAGCTCTTTTACACACGCACAACAGTTGTTGTTCCAACATTCTTTGCATGGCCTTCAGTGTCGAGTTATTGGCGAAAAGGCAACCATGCAAATTACCTGGCAAAAATACAGGAAAAACAAAAATCGGTTCCTTGTTTACTCACAGTGTGACATGCAAATTGCTCGCGAGATTTTGCGGCGCCTTACGTAATGCGACTAGTTCTACAGTCAGAGTGAATGTACGATTTCTCTGGTTTGTACCACTGACGATGTTTCCGTAAGTCTTACTGTGCACTTTCGGCCAAAATTACACCTGGAGCCGAAACGTTTTCTTCGCTTGCTAAACCGAAGAAGCAAAGAGCCATCGTTTTTCTTTAAATCAACGTCCTTTCTTGAACAGCGAGTACACGCTAGAGTGACATCAACTCCTGCATCATCTCAAATCCCGACTTCACAATTATCATCAACTTAGGCAACAGCTCGTTTTATAAAGTGAACCTCGACGTATCGTACATAGATAAGGTCCACCTCTTTGTAAATAGGCCAGCACAGTGGGCGAAACGTACTATATTCACCAAATCACCGCAAACTTGTGACCAGGCGGTAAGACAGAGGACCATAATTTCCTTGGAACAAGGTGCCAATGTTTTTTTGCCATCAGCCGGAAAAAACTCGATTGAAAAATTCAATGTGAGAAATAGACGTCATTCAGCGACGTCATTCATAATATCCCACTCTCATTTGCCTGTATAAAATATATTGTAAACTAATGCCCAAAACAATAAAGGCAAAACTAAATCTGCCGCAGTGACTGGCTAAATCCTGAAAACTTTGCAGTCGTGTGCACCTATTTTTAAAGGAAATTTACGTAATCACTTACGATCTGCCACCGTGACTATGACTTGAAAGGTGCTCAAAGTAACAACGGTTATGACTGTTTTGCGCCCCATGTCTGTCCAATGAGCTGAATTGCAAACCCACTTGTATTTATTTGCTGACCAAGTGGGTCATTAGGAAACGCAGTCATTGGATTGGCCAACTACGTTGTTGTCGAAAAAGCACTGCAGAGAACTTGGACGGGGTAAACTCGTGTGCGTAAAACACACCTTATTCAGTTAGCCAATGGGGTTTTAATCCCTCAAGCGATCCAACCACATGCCTCCAGACGATGCGCGTGCGCCGAACCCAAGCTTGGTTATTTGCAATGTAAACGCTGAAAATATAGTTTCATTATACTTAGTTCTACTTCTCAAGGAAGTGATGTAACCTCATTAGGATAGTCGAATTTGATCGTTCAAATAGTACGGCGAGATATGCTGGAGGTCGGGGCTTGGGCCAGAATTTGGCCCTATTATTTATACAAGCCATTGACTCGCTTACGGATGGTTGTCTCAAAGAGACGTTCAAACCCCTAAAACACAATAAACGGACCCATGTTGCCTCAGAAACCTGTCCAATTTATTTGTGCATTGTATGCCGTTTACCAATATTCATTAGAAAACTGTGGTGCACCTATGAAACCACACATATTTCTCATCCTAATTTTGTTCCATTAATGAGGTGCATTCACATTGATCGCAGCGCTCATTTTTTTCCAAAAGTTGTTCTAAACCAACGATGAGGGAACTTGAATGTATCAAGGACAACATAATCTGACGTTATTCGTGTGAAAGCCGAAATCTGTTTGCCTTAATTCCAACGCCATGTTAGATTCAAATATGCCTCTCCTAATCTTTAATACGATTGGAAATTAACGCCAAATACAGTTTGGCATTTTCAGAAGTCTTGTGTGGTGATAACCGTTTGAAATGACCCATTTGGCATGACTACGTGCCTGGTGTCAATTAGGTGGGATGCGATTGAACTTCTGGCTGAACTGCTGAGGTTAGTGGTATTCCGGTAAGAGAGGTGCTCGCGAATTCTCTTAGAAATTTTCCGTCTCGTGTGCCCAACATACTCCGCCGAACAACAGCAGGAGAAAGAATACACAACCATATTCTGGGTGAGGACTGGCATCTTGTCTTTGAGTTTAAGTTGAGCAAAGGGTTTGTTGTAAACCAAGACCACAGGAAACATGCGTTGTAGGGGTTGAGACAAGCGGCGACTGACTATGTCCGCCAACAAATCGCCTTTATACGGTAAACTCAAGTAGATTGGCTTCTTTCCAACGGTCGTGATGGGCGGTCGGATATATTCTCGGTCATCAATCTCTCCGGGTAACCATCGGCTCGTAGCACGTTAGCAATGTGCCGCAGTTCAGAAACCAGTGTGTAAGCACACCAAATACGGTTTGCTCGGTTCGTTAAAGTTTGAATCAGGGTTCGTTTCCGCCTCAGTGGCACAAAACTCAGGAAGTTTGTGTACTGTCCCGTGGTCTTTCTGTAGACAGACCTCTGAATTAAACCCGTGGAAAGTCTGACTAACTTAACGTCCAAGAAATGGAAAGCGTTGTCAATTTCAGTTTCAAAAGTCAACTGAATAGAGAGATGTGCTTGGTTGAAGTTGGTCAGGAGAGCATCCATTTCGGAACGGTTTGGTACTACCATAAAAATATCATCTACGTGCCTTCGATAGAAGTGCGTGCACCTAATCTCCCATTCACTTGACGACGCTCCAGTTTTCCCACAAAAATGTCACTCAACAGGGGGCCAAGAGGAGAACCCATGGCGACTTCATCGATTTGACTGTAGAGTGCAGAGTTAAATTGGAGTTGCGTGTTGAAAGTACAGCGAAGGAGTAGTTCCTTTAATGAGGTGGTGGGGATTGGGAGTGTCAAATCTGATGAGTCAATGTAATCACAGACCTAGACAGCTTAGGTCCGCAAAAGTGACCACGAATCTCGTTTGATACTGATTTACCCTTTTGTGTATAACCAGTGAGCCCATGACGTCGACTGATACCTTCTTGAGGCTTCTCTTCGGTCAAGATAAGCTATTGTCGTTTGATTTATCTCATCAAATGTATAATACGTACATATTTTCTCTTATATATTGCGTTCCTTTACACACCGTCCAGGGATTGCTTAGAGATGAATCTCATAGTCATGAGGTGACCCATGGAAAAGACAATCGGGTGAAATGGTTTTGTTGGAAACACTGGGCAGGAGATATTCTGGAATCTGAAAAGCACTTCAATCTCCGGAGATAGTCGAAATAAAACAGTCACATTACTCCTTCCTCAACAAACAGGATAATGTTTTATGAAAGCTGCTTATCAAGTGGCCACGAAAACATACGCCTACAGTAATTTTTGACTTAATTAAGCCTTTTTGTGATTTACTGAACTCCCTAAATTCACGCTTCTTAGGATTATTTCCCGACAATCCACCCATTTTGGCCTGCGGGTAAAGATGCAGTGTGCGACAAAATGTGAATCTTGTGAAGAAACTTCCAAAGCGCCCAAACTAAAGCAAACTTCCCACACTGATACATCGCCGACGTTCATTGCATAGAGTACACAGTGAACAATTTTGTCTTTTGAATTTCATAGTGCTGAATTTCGTCCAAATGCCTGCCTTCGAAGAATCATTTGTTGATCTGCTATTACTGCAAAACAGGACCTTCAAACTGAACCCTTGAAAAGCCAGGCGCCAATGTGCGAAAAACGTCTCCCTAAAACAACACAATTCAACGCCTCACTAGCTAATATGTCAGTAAATAGCTGTGCAAATGAATTGGCAAACATCATTTGATTTTGCACACGTGGAAATTCTTCGTCGAGTAAATATACTAGTTTTCCCTCTTGTTTTCTTGCTGCCATAACAAACTCGACAGAGTTTTGTTTTCCTGACAAAAAGTAGTGTCAGACGAAAGCGTGCGCTCAGGTTATTTCGTGTTTAAAACTGAATTAACAGATATGTATTTCGGTGCGGTGTGCCCTGGCAGCCAAACTGTTCACCATATTTAGCGATGTTTTGGGCTCTTTTTGAAGAATCTAGGAATTTGTACACTATCCATGCCAATGAAGCAACGCTGCAATTGAAAACGGGAAAAATCTCCCAGTTGGAGAGAATTATGAAGCGTCACGGAACTTTCTCAGTACTAGCACTTGCCTCCGGGTTCAAAAGTTAGTGGTGGTGTCCTAGTGGCTATAGCAACGTTATTAATTGTTGTAAACATCACATGGGTTTCAATGGCAAAATGTCCATCCCCTTATCGACTGATCACACTAATCGATGGGTGAGCTGTCCTCATTGTAGAGATTGCAGCCACCGGTATTTGGAATTCTCAATAAGGCCCAGTGTAAAAAGTGCTCGCTTCTCTCACCCAAACAGACCACCATAATTAAAAATCTAAAGCGTAGTGCACACCGTTTGCCCACTTTCTAGACCATAATTCATCAATATTTAAATCGGTTATCACAGACGGTGGAAGCACTGGGCAATTTCGAGATTGTAAGCTGAGTAGCATAGCGGGAGAAATCATGCTGAGTACTCGTTGATGGACGGGCATAGTACTGATCATCGTATGAATTAGGTAATCCAGTTACTCATTCACGCACACAAGGTGGCTTAGAATTAGGGGAAGAGCTCGATACTTCCAGGCTATCTATGAAAAAGCGTTCGACTCATCGACAAAGGGTTGTAATATAAGTTGGTTAACCAGGTGTATCACCAGCTCAATTGGGAGTTACTTCTCAAGAAGCCAATATGCCTGTCCCTTTATATGGTTGATCATACATCCAAAGGGATTGCTCTTGACACTGAAAAAAAAATATTACTTCAGTGCTTGCGTTGATTACTCACTAGCTTGATGTGATTAATTTTCGCTCCTCGATCGATCATTATTTCCCGGCTGGTCCAATTTGATTTTGTATTGTGCCGACAAATTTCAAAGTGCGCTCCATTGATAATCGCAATCCCTTTCGTTCGGTTTCAGAAGTGCCGGCGGTAATGAAGTTAAAGCATGAAGACATAGTTGAACATCATCCAGCGAAGATCCAGAGTCCCAACTCAATGACTAACACTCTGTATATTTATATGTTTGTATTACTGCTGTCACTCCAGATCCCTCGTATGCTGCTCCTTAGAGAATAAATTGTTCAACGCATGTTCTCAAGCTTCCCCGTGAATAGTTGGTCAAAGCTACCAACTCAACAATACTTTCATTTAACACACCTCATCCTCCTTTTCAGCCCTACCTGACTGCCATCCTCACAACGTCCGCAAACATGTGCTTGGATAATTTTTACACAGCCAGACATAGTATAACCTTCATCCTATGACTCCAATATGTGGAGCGAATTCCCACCCTGTGTGCCGCTATTGCATCCAGACAGCCACGGCAACGTGACAGTTTCCGGCCTGGAAAGCCAGAGGAACGACACAAAGGGGCTTATCAAGACAGAATTAAGACTGCTGAAAGGTGAGGCCTGCAGGCATTGGTCGCTCAATAGGGTTGGTTGAAACGAGTAGAAGCTAAACTGACTTTGAATGTCAGCCTTAGAGATTAGGATTCTTTTCCGACTGAGACGCGTTTGCGATTACAGTAGCACATAGTTTCACAATTTGGCGGGATCTAATAAAGCGTGTCGGGTTTTATATAGGGAATTGATAAACGATCCATCTTAGATCATTCTTCACACGGTACGTGGGAAGGTGCTCCAACTTATCCTCAACAGAAACCACTCAAATAATGGCCAAATAGCAACAACTAAATATTCCTCCATTAACGGAGAGCACCATACATTGCGATCCGTAGTTACGATTAATTTGATTGCGCCGTATCACTATGCTTTACATTATGATAATATATGCAATGTACCAGTGAAACTACTCTTGGAATATTTCGATGAGTAGACGTATCGACGTTTTCGTCTCATCAGACTAACTGGGGTGTATCTTAGTTCCTTTGTTTTTCCAGGTATTAGTTTCCAACTTTTCACCGCTCCTAGTTGGATACCAGTACCGCCGAGTCCTTTCACGATTTCGTTGCAGCGCATTCCGTCGGACGATAGCGTGATTAAACAGTCCTCCGGATTGTCGAATTCGTGCCATTTTATTCGGGCTGAATGCTACTACTTAGCGCTTGATGAGTAGACAGGATGATTTGTTGTTTCTAGATAATCACAGGACAAGTGAGGTGAACTTTTGCTGGTAAGTTCCGTTTTTATGCGTAGCATATCCGGCTAATATGACGTGCCCAATGAATTTGTGCCTCCGGTATATCGTTCAACAAAACGCGACGGTCACATCGAATCAATGGTAATGTTACATCTTTGGCTGGAAGACGTAAGTCCAATGAAAGAACCGGCCTTTGGACATTCGTTCGGGTAAGTGCTAATTGTAGCTAAACTAACTAACATATCGAAATTAAATATGTGACACCGGGAGGAAACGACATACGTGGGATGCTTTTTATTACAAGAAATCATCATGGAAGTTCTGCAAACAGTGCTAGGAGCAAACGAGAGAAGAGTCAATGAAGCATCACAAACGGGTGATTCAGCTGGGTTCCAGGTAAGTCTCTCGCAAAACCAAACTTGTTTATAAATGTGTGCAGTTCGCTAAAAGTCATTGACTTCTAACTCACAGAGGTCACTTTGGTCGCTTTGGTCATTTTGCTAATGTGGAAACTGAAAGGGTTTGTTGGCTAATTTACTAAAAATTGCATAAACCGTTAACTAGATGACACTTCTACAGACCTACGGAGAACAGCCATACGGTGAAAAGCGATCTTAAAACATTCGAATACAAGAAGGGAGTAGCAAATTAATCAAAATTGCCAATCTGAGCGCAGTGATTATAGTAATGCAAAATGGCAAACCTTAAATTGGCGTCCTCCGGAAGCAACCGGAAGAAAGTGCATGTAACTGGGTGATCGAACAAGGTTTATAATTAACGGGTAACCCGTCCAGCTTAAGTAAGAATGAAATCACGTTGTCAGTGCTCATCTGAGGACGCTACCATTTGGCGTCATAACAAATGGACATAACTTCACGTTTATAGAAGACTCGAACGTAAGCCCCAGCATTTGTTGCCCCACTGCCTAGAAGCAATCAATGAGCGATACAAAAGGATGCAAAATTATCCTCCGAAATGACCTTGAGTAAACGATGAAACGGCGCACATCTCGTACTGTGATTACGACCTTGTGTTGTGTGACCCATTAGGGTACTATCATAAAATATGACAGATAGAAAAAAGGGGAAAGTGATTCCAGGTCTATATCGATTTGGAGTATTGAACAGATATTCAAAATCACAAAATGGTTAGTGCCAGCCTAGGGAATTCGATCTTTGGATTGTTTCGGAGGAATTCCGGTCGTAACCACTCCAAATCAATGATAATCATGCACCGATTCGGGGAGAATAATGTGGGTATTTGTCAAAAGATTCGTTAATCTTTCCCAAATGTAACACCGTCTTCCTTATCCTTGCAAGTTTTCGCAAAAGAAATTGCCCAGACGACAAATTATTCTTTATTAATGTTTACGCGAGTCAATAAAGGGGTCGTATGAAGACTCCTGATCTTTCAAGGTTTTCAGCCCGACAGGTGTACTCTAATTAATTCTGTTGAAACCTCAGCACAGCACACCTGAGAAATCGGAAAAATGGATATTAGGCAGAACCAACTAACGGATGTAAAAGTATCAACATGGCAGTGTGTTGCGATTTATTAGCTTACCAGCTGCTCTTGACCGAAAGATGATGCGAGTGCTTAGAAAGAAACTTGCGGGAAGAAACTGTCACCACCTTAGTCGAGGTATGGGCCTGATTTGTTTTTGCTGGGATATGGAAAGGGAGTAACATATCTCAGAACCCAGTCATGTTTACTGGGCAGCTGACTGTCCAGGAGTAGGTAAATGAACCGGTAAATAACCGTCACGAAGAGACTGGACCTTACCGTGATGTGACGGTTTGCGCACCTCAGCGATCCATTGAGCTATACTGGAGAGTGTCGTGGGACACTCACAGAGTCTCTCATACCAGGTTGGTCCATGGGTAGAGGTCTGACGAACACAGTCTCCTGGCCCTCCAGGTTGGGGGTTGGAACATGTGGCGACTTGTTCTGTAGAAATGGTAATGCATTCGCATTTCCCGCCAAACACCACTGCCTTGAGGTTAGGCTTTTGAGCCAAAGGCTTTGGTTGAGGACCCTAATCGTCCTCCTGTCTAGGTGTGGGCACCCTGGCAGTATCCCAGCCCTCGTACAACCGTGAACTGCACATACACAAACAAACTCATGCCACATCGGCCGTCGCGTGGTGCCATCAGCCGGGTCACCTTACATGCTGCATACAGCGGGCTGGTAAGCGAAAACAGGCTACTGCCGACGCCTCCTTTCTTTCTCTTTCACACACTTTTTCTCTCTCCCCTCCCCACCCCATTAATAACTCTCTCCTTGTAGGCCCAGCACTTAGAACTGGTGACTCCGTTCGTCATGCATCGGTTTTGCATGCAGCATCTGCTCGTCAGATGGTGCCGACATCTTCAGGAATCTCCAAATCAGTCCTCAAGCCTCGACACCCAGTCTATCTGGCCGCGTTCAATATCCGCAATCTGAAGCAGGCAGGACAACAAGCACTGGGCTGGATGCAATCTGCCGACACGACGGTTTGCGATTCTCGCATTCATCATATCATTTTTAACAACCGCAATTTACTTGTTGGGCCCAGGCGATGATATTATCACAAGTGTACGAACTCATTTGCGTGACATGAATACACGTACACACGATTAAACTACCTTGGGATGTTCAGCTCGCTTCCACGCATCCACCAAATGTGAGGCCTGAGTCTGGTGGATATCCGAGTAGTTAAAATGCACTGAGGATTATTAACAAATCTTCCTTCTCTCACAGGTGAGTGGATTCCTTGGTCTCAATCACAGAATGCGTACCTCAAAATTCTGGTGTCTTGGGCGCCATCAATCCATTTCTTTGCTTAAGTTTATTCAAACAATCTGGATCCCTGGTCCGTCATTGTGAACTTCATTCGGTGTGAAACGACAACTGCGTAATGTGCGGTTCCAAGAGGAATAGTCGATCTGTCCTCCAACACAACACGGAAGTGTTTCCTAATAAAATTCTCGTGGAAGCAATTCTCGTGAGAAGCAACTACTTTCAGTATGTTTGCGTGTTATGCGGAAACAAATTAAAGGTCGAAACAAGTATTGGCTGGGCATCTTCGTGAGCATACAGGATAACACCCGTTTTTTTTTGTATGCTTTATTTCAAAGCGGTCCCAAGCTCTGTGTCAGGCAGGGAAGTATGACCGATTTCCAAGAGTTCGTGATTCACGGAAAAGACCAGGTCAAGTATAGTTCTACAAATCTCGCACGATAGTATTCAGAAAACGTTGTTCTGATATTGATGCCATGCCAGAGTGATGGTGACCTAAAAATTGAACGCGGCGAATGACTGCTTTGAATTTACTCGTCCAGTACTTGTTTGCTGTTCTAGAAATTTCACGGAAAACAGGGTTTCAATTTGCACGTGATTTAAGTGATCTCCTTGTGGGTAATTTCACCGTTTACCGAACGGTTGCTCAGCGGTGTGGCCATTTCCGATTGACACATAGTATGGCGCTATTCATCATTCACTCACGTATGATCAACTGATGTGGATCCCAGGATGGGCAACGTCACATAGTGCCTCAGTTTTATTCAACCACTCTGGCCAACTGCGTATGTTGACCGCCATTTTAGGCATTCCAACTGCCAGCCGAGTCGCGGATTTGAGACTCCCCATCGATTGGTTGTTGATCAGGTGGCTGTTGATCTGTTCGCCGAGCTTGGCAATTGGCTTGCAAACCATACGAGGGGACATCATCAGTGCGTAGTTTGGTGGATATTTCTTCCTTGCCTGCGTGCGTTTATATAGCATTCGTAGACTACCTGTTATCTCCTCTCGTGATTGGCTGCTTGGAATGTGACAAATTTAGTTAATCTATTGGTCCGTTTTTGCTCTATGTGGCGTTGTGGTCTGTGTTCCTTTGTGTTGGTTGGTGATCCCAACGCCTTCTATTTTTGGCAGCTTGTTTTCTCTGGCCTTGATTCACATTGCGTTGTGGCCTGACGTTCTCAAGTCTGATTGGTTGCTTGTACCGCCTTATTTCCTCCACCGTGGCGGTTAGTGTCCCTAGGTCCGCCGGTTGATTTGGTGTTTTTGTTGGGCGCCTTGTCCATCCAATTGATGTGTCCTTTTGAATGATGCTTTCCTGCTTCTCCTATAAGTCCCTCGTCTGGTTACTTTTACAGCTTTAAGCTCTGTGGTTCTGACGTTCTCTCGCTCTTAGCGGCTGGTAAATGGGATCGATTTCGATGTGTTTGTTGATGGCTTCCATAAGTTCGCGTTCTCTTTTTGTTCTTCCTTGAGCCAGTATGCAAAACGACGCTCCAGTCGAACTCGTGTCCTTCGTGATCTTTGTGTGTGGAGATGAGGGAGAATTGATCGTGTCTTTTAGTGGCGAGCTTGTGTTCATATATTCTGGCGGACAGCTTCCTTCCTGCTTGTCCTGCATATCGGTTGTCGCAGTCCTTGCATTAGATTTTGCATATGACATTGTTCTTCGCCATTGGATCTCTATCGATGTTCCTAGTTGTGCGCATTGTTAATGGTTTCTGATAAGAATGGGACAACTGCACACAATGCCCTACGAGTTCACCCAAACGAGAAATCCGTACTGAAGGAACACTCGTTGGTTACTATTTTAAAAGTTATTCGCGAGAAGAATCGCCTACTACCTTGGTCTGGGTTTTGTCCCGGGGCCAACCCAAATAATTCTGCGGGTGACTGAAAAATAATGAGATGCATGGTGTAAATATTCAATATCAAAAGCACGTAGGCCATTCGTTTGTCACTTCCGGGATAACTGTGGTGCTCGTAAACATGTAAAGGCGGAGAACCGGCCATCAAAATCTCGGACAGTTTGGTGCTGAACTCTTTGCCATTGGTCAGTGTGCTGCCAAGTTTACAGCTCGTAGCTCTGCAACGAGGCTCAGAAGGCTTTCGACTGGTCGGGGTTCGCTTCGTTACTGATCTATTTAAGTGCTTCAAATGTGTAGAGCCAGTTCGCTAAATGAGAGCCATAAATAAACAAGAATCAAGTTTTTGTGTCCTGACTGGTCTCGTTAACCTAATCGGAACCAATCGGAATCTGTTTGAAACGCGGATGTTTCTATCGTCCTCTCGTATCCTAGTCAATATGCTGCTCTTGGTCATCTTGAGGGAGGATAACGTGGAATGCTTGGATTGTGGAACAGACCGTTTACTACTTAGTTGCTTTTATTATATTCAGCGACTTTGTCTCATTATCCGCCAGTGGGCATACAAGCCTTTGATTGTATTTTTCTGCCGGAGTGTGTTTTCGACAGCAGCAATTGGTGACCTTGAAAGCAATTGGGTTTATGTTTTGGCAAGAAATATCACGGTTGCAGTCATCGGTAGAAGCGCAGGTGTTGCCTGAATGGGGAAAACGCCCGGGTCCAAGGACTAACACTGACCTCCTCTGACCAATCTAGGCGACTGAAGGTATAAACAACAGTCGGAAAAGCTGTACTTTTATGGACGAGTCGCGAGAAGAACCCGAATGCAAAAACGGTAATTTCCTTCAGTTTCCTGGTTGATAGCTCAGGAGAATCAAGGACTATAATCTGTCTCATTTATCGTCGATACGGTGCGGCCATCGAAGATTCGGGAAGGTTACGCAACCACTCTGGAGCATGCCGAACGTTTACCCCGTGGACAACACTCCACGGGGACCTGAGATTTTTTTCGTCCAAGACAAATAGAAGGAATGCTAAGAGTACTCTCCGCATCATACAGAAACGTTCTCGTAGGAGATTTAACTAGGCCACTGAAAATCACGGGGTCGGTGGAGCCAAACAATTCAAATCCTAGTACAGTGTAACATTGACTCACGATATAAAACTCATCGAACAATTAAAAATGGTAGGATTGTGTCTGTAGATTGACCCGGGGTTGATGAGTTACTGTTGCAAAGTAATATGATTCAGACAGGGGATCCTGTTGTTAAATGCCTCTAGAAAACGAAGATCGTCCGAGATAAGTATTAGAATTTATTTTTCACCTTACTATTTTATGTTTTGCTGAGCAATCTTAAAACATTGTTCACTTAAAGCAAGCAAAACAATTACTGCATTTTAGAAAGGATCAAAACAGTGTTTGATTATCTTTGGAAGATTTCAGTGTACTGAATAAAATATCGAAAATGTCTTTATAGGAACTGTAGCGGAATAGGACCTTATCAGCGTGTTCGGATAAATTAGCAAGCAAAGTAACCAATACAAAATCACAAAATCACAATAGGAAAGGAATGAGTAG